GGGGTTGGGGGGGGATCGGTGGCACTTTCATATCTCGGTGGATACTTATATGATTCTACCCGTCAACGTCGGTTGAATAACTCACGTTCAAGTGGATTGTTAATTAATTATTAATCGGTTCGCACGCGCGTAGGTGTGTGATAGTCGCGACGTAGTGACGCACACGCGCGCGTAATTGAGAAGAGGTTTGTTTTATGGATCGGAAGATTTATTTCACGATCACGATGAGAATTCGTGCGTCAATGGTAAGATCCTGTTCGCTTCTTCCATTTGTTGGCTGACTACATTGTTACGCGGCGGATACTTAAAATAATTGCGACCTCTGCGGCGCGTTGCTCCGTTTCCGAATATTCGCGAGAATGTTGTTCAAATGTCACGGAGAGGGAACATTTTTGACACGATCTGTAAGATGCCGAAAAGCCGTTCATTCTTTTGTCTTGATTATAAATTCGTCTAGGGGGAAAAAAAAAAAAAAAGAAAAAACAGGAATTCTCTTTTGCGTCATCGACTGCGTTCGATTCGTCCGGGAGTAAACAGTTACGTGGCTTCTAAAGCTTCCACTCCACACAGTGGAAATTCGAGCTTATATAATCCTCAGAAATTGTAAATAATTATCCCGCGAAACTATTCGTTTAACTATTCGCGTCTAAACACTATCCAGACCAGTCTGCATCGGACTCGTCTTCTCCGGAGAGAGAGGGGAAAAACATGAAAATAACCGACGTTTTTTTTAATTTGATCCGTAAAGTTACGACTCAGGGGAACCAAGCGATTCTCTGCGCGCCGCATTCTACAGCCGCTCTTTAACCGCGGAAATGTCCTATTCCGCACATACCATAGGGATTTGGGACGTAATACGAGGACGATCTACATTGCGTATTATCGTACAACGCTTGATAAAATTGAAAAATACCTGTTGTTTGTTGCGCTCTCTCTCTCTCTCTCTCTCTCTTGATACATTTCATATCTTCTTCGCAATCGTGACGACAGGTATAGAGCATGCAAACCGCTGTATCGATTCCATACGATAGAATCATTTTTATCTTACGCTACCTTTCTTATAATGAGGGTGAAAGAAGATCTTGATGGCAAATTCGTATTATCTTTTCTTCCTTCTTATCTCTTCTTTACTTTCAATTCGATTCAAGCCGATTCAATAAAATTACGAGAATGAAAGAAGCTATGTACTTGCATAATGCATGTACGACAATTTATCGGAAATGTCCTGAAACGCTGATTGCTCGCGCATAACGATGGCGATATCTAAATTGAAGAATGTCTAAGAGTCTCCGAGGGAAATTTTGCGTTAAGAATAACCTCGCAATATACGGTACATTAACCTAATTACAATATGTCTTCGATGCACTTTGCATAAAATGAGGGAGTGCACTATCTCACAGATTGACCTGTTCAAGAAGCCGGGATATATATACATGGAATGATTTATACACGAGTGTTGCGCTACGTTGTGAAAAATGTGATAAAATATTCATTGAGAGTTTGAGTGATCTTAGTCGTTCGCTGAGGAACCTCGGGAAAATTAATCTAAACTTAATCTTTGTCGCCGCGTAAACTTGGGTTTGACAAAGTTTCACAAAAATACGAGATCGTCGTCGCACTAAATTGTTCGCACAAAATCTAACTTTGAAAAGAGGTTGGATCTATTTTTCATATTCTCCCAGATTGTTCAACACTTAAAACGAGAAAAAGTCGTTGAATATTCGGCTGATTATTTATTAATCTAGAAAATAGACGTATGTTAGCTAACGCGGAGTCTTTAATTTCGAATCGTTCGTTTGAAGCTCGTAACAGAGTTTTGCGAATAAATTACAAATATTAGTATCAACAAGAGCGTTAAAAGAGATCAAAGAGTAACTCGGGTTTAGATAAAAATACCGTCGTGTCGTGGTGCACTTCGCGCGAGCTGTATCTATGAAAACGTGGCGAAATCCGTGGCGATTACAAGCACCGTCCGTATCGATCCAAAATTCAGATTCTATATTCTCGTTCAGAACGGAGAGCTCTTCATGATAATGCGCGGAAACACGATAACCGGGATAATAAACGCATAAACTTATTTAATCACATTTCCATTTAATTAACAGCGTCGTCTGCATTTGCAAGGAATAAGAATTTTATTCCGCTCAGAGACAAACTCTCGCGAGCGCGCGCAAACGCGTGTAATGCATAATTGCATTCGTTTGACCTCTCGTCGCGGTTCGTGCTCCGAAAAGTGGACCGAAAAAATAAGGGTCGCATCAATCGAGTTAACCTTCGACATTACATCGATTTGTTTACTTCGTGTTTACGTATATAAGAAGATTGCTTCCTCACGTGCAATGTATACTCAACGGAAACAAATATCATGCATAATAACAATTTGAAATCAAACTCCCGTTTTTCAGAGAATATCGAGTTTCTCTGAACAAGCGTACGATTACTAAATAAAATCCATTCGATTAATAAATTCGAATGTGTACTTGATCCCTTCGCGTATAAACATCAAGCTTGCCGGAATTAAATTTCGAATTACGAATACAATTTCACTTCCAATAGTATCCTGAACAAACGTTGAAAATTGCTTTCACTTGTATTTATAATTAAAAAAAAATGTAATTTGTTATCTCTTTGCTTCGATATAGTGAAGCACGTGAAATTCATTTCGCGTTATGTAAAAGCAATTACAAATTTGTCAAAAGATTCGAAAATCAAAAGATGTCCGTGACAATAATAATCGAACAAATGTGCTATTATTATGTGTGACATTCATTTTTATCAACATAATTTCAATTAAACAACCCTCCTCCCCTGACAAGATAAGAGCAAAGACTGTCAGCTTGATTTCGCTGCTTGATAACCTCCGGTCGGTAAATTGTGCCTATAATCAGAATGGATGATAAACGCGCAGACGCACTTTCACAAAAATATATAATATACTTCGTCGCAAATTTATATATATCTAGATATATATGAAACAACGGGATAATTGTAAATTGTAAGATTAATATTCATTAAACGCTAAATGAATATATCAGGCGATTAAAAATAATCGATAATGTTATCGTCCTTTAATCAACTTCAGGTCACTTCCTATGCATGAACATTTTTCCCAAATTTTCTTTACCGACAGGTAAAAAGTTGTCGACAGGTGCGCATCGAATAGCGACTTAGGACTGGTGGTCTTTGCTTTTACCTTGTCGGCGCTTCCACCCGTATATCGACAGTACTGAGGATAATATCGACAATTGCAGCGTCCTTCGGACACATATAGATCGTGTCCTGTCGATGTAACAGTATTAAGTAAAAACGTTATCCTTCGGCGATCAAAGGATCAAGCCTAGCAGGATTCTAGAACACCTTATCGACTTTCGGTCAACGGGATGCTTTATCGACGCGTTTTCATTCCCTTCTGTTAGTTACCACACATGTATTAATAGTAGAGATGAAAAAAAAAAAAAAAGAATTGACTTACGTAATAAACATGTTTCAAAAATGGCTCAAGAGAGACGTTTAAAATAAGACTAAAATCAAATAAAGCAACAATATTAAATAGCTATGTCTCAAAGGAGAGAAGCGTCCAATCTACGAAAATGAAGAAAGATGAGCTTAGAATTAAGGAATTGAGGAATCAATAGAACCAATAACATCGAGGCAACAGTCGTCCACTAGTATTCGAAGCGCGACGCCCCATCGAATATTTCACATAACACTTATTCAGTTCCATATTATCTACTTTGTAGTATATACTCCATGTTCTCTCAAAAAATTACTGTTACCTTCTCCTCGTTGCGGTGAACGTGCAAAAAGGCATTTAACAAAGTTCCGTGTTTTGAAATGAAAGAGGGACAATTTTTTATGAGTAATTATTGTCCAATCAAGTGACGAATTAATAATTGTACTCACTCCGGTTTGCACGGCGTAGTAACTCTTTTGAGGCTTTCTCCAGCAGTCCAACACGTGTGACGCCGGTGCCGTATGACAGTGGTGGTGATGAAGCCGACCATCGGCGATGCTGTTCCTGATGGTCGGTGGATCGGGCCAACGATCTAGATTGCTCCAGCTCCACCTTCCCTTCTGCTTCACGGCGTAGTATCGATAGACCACGATCGTCATGGCCACCACCAGGGCTAATCCCGTGCCAGCCGCGGCGCCGAATATCGCGGACGAAACCATTATCCTTCGCGTGTACACGTGATATTCCCGATCGGATATCTCTTGTTCAACCTGTGAAAGAAATAACAAATTATTTGCACTGTTCTGAAAATATTTCCAATTAGATGAATATCTGTATGATGTGATGCCGAGGCATTTGTAAGATACATCGAATTTTTCAAACATAGACCGGTACAGACCATAGTCAGATCTTATATTTAAGACCGTCCTAAATTCATCTTTGGATGCTTAGCAGCCAAGGAAATGATCCGTGCGGCACCTGAAGATGAACTTGAGATGAAATAGATCCGACTGTGATTACCACCTTTAGACCTTTTCTAAATTTCCCTGGGTTTCCCGCGGCGATTCTCGATAAACGTTACGAAAAGTCTATTGTTTTTGAAATGACCTTACGTCGTCTAATTATATTCAACTGTGTAGGAGGCTTAAAAAAAATACAATAAATAACAGCTTGGAAGGGTTTATATAAATACAGAGGGAGAAGTACTTCTCCTCGCATGTTTAACGATAAATATATCCGTGCGGTTTAACGCAATCCCCCACAATAGATTTCCTACTATCCCCGAGCTTGACAAAACGCAATAACGTATCGGCCATAGAGCACAGTTTGTAGATGAAGCCGTGCCGTGAGTAATCAAATTTATTAACCCACGAGCAAACCGTGATGTCACACGTGACGATCACAGGAGTACGAGCGAATAGACGAAGAGACGGGAAAGAATCGGGTAATAATCGGGTAATAATCGGGAATCGGGTGGTTAATTAAATTATATTTGCAATTAGAAATTATCGATATAATCATGTTGCCGCTAAGCCGCGGGTGAAATCGATTCCAATGACTGTTTAGCCGTTAGCGGGGTCGCGAAACGTCGACGAGAAGAATTGAGGAAGAAAAAGCAGGTAAAAAGAAACGCGATGAGCGAGTGGAACTTGTGAAAACGATGAGCACGGCGGATCTGTGTCGAGAAATAGATGGCAACTTAAGATTTGAATGGCAACGGTGAAAACATGAAGTTCTCTTCTCGGCCAAGCGAGAGAACTACGTCGCTATTGCGACGTTGTGTTCTTCGTTTATCAAATGAATCGCGACTCGTGTAATTAACGCACGTGGGCAATGAATTACTTCCTCCACTCGCTATTGCAACTCCGTATCTATCTTCTCGCTTCTCACAACTCCTGTCTCCTTGTTTATAGCAATTCCGTGTTTCGTAATTGGATGGCGAATCGCAAGCCAGCTTTAACTACTTAAACGAGGAACTTAAATAATTCTGCATCAAAATAACAGTTTGTATAATGTTACTCCTAATTGGAGAGTTTTCAATGAAAGATATATAACTGCATCGTGTAATTTTCACAATGGAAGTTTCGACGAAAGCAAAGAAGGAAAAAGTTGTAATATTGAGTATGTAATCAAGTATGGTTCAAACGAGAAGAGAGAGAATTTGATTAAAGTCTTAATAATGGAGTAGCAACCGATTGTTCTCGAGATATAATTGTTTTTGAGGTATTCATTTCTTTTTACTTTCTACTTTTTACAGATCACTCTCCTGCTTCGACTTACAGAAATAACGATGATCTTGTTATTGATGCGATAAAAGGACGGGAGGAAAAAGTGTCGGGTGTTCCCGGATTTAAATCATCGTGAAATTTGACCGCAATCGTCCTTTGAATTGACAATAAAGAGAATACTGCGGACGTGCACCAAGAAAATTGCTTTTTGCCTCGTATTTCTACATCAGGGGTTTCAGACACATGGCCCCAGGTGTTACGGTTTGGCTCACCTTGGCCCATTTGCGGGTCACTAATTCGAGATAGTACGAAATGTGCTCGACATCATATTGGATGTGCTCGGCCTGTCATAGGATATTCTCTAAGACATTCCGGACACATTAGGAATGACACATGTGGAACATCTTGTGCTATCTGAGATATGATCCTATGACAAAAATAGATAGTTTTAAACATATTCGTTCACAATAAATTTTCTCGAATTTCTCCCAGGCAATTTTTTTAACATTTAACCTCCGAATATGCAAAAGGCATAAGAAAAATACGTCTTTCTTTTTCAGCTAATTTGCCATATATCTAACGTCCGTCAAAATCGATAAAGAAACGTCATACCTCCATGTTACAACGTAACGCCGCAAGTGGTCATTGAACCATTTAAATAGAGTCAATCGAGAGTGCAGCAGTCGATACAATGGTTGATATCTTCTAGAAGTCGTAGGAACTTGAAATACAATCTGTGGGAGAGGTGAAATCACTGCGCTCCCAATTGATGTAGAATCGTTCTCCTTCGAAATAAAAATCAATAGATTGAAAATTGGATCATGTTGATTAGAAGTATATCGATTATTTTTTAGGTTGAAGTGAAAATCTGTCTTTAATGAAAACCTTGAATATGTGAGGTTGTAAAACGTCGTTTTTTCGTTTCTAATAGATATATAAAGCGCAGCCACAAAAAAAATAATGAGAATTTATTCTGATGTCAATATCTCTGAAAGTTAATCCGATTTACTTCAGATAAATTGCTGAAAAAGAGTGTTTTATTCGATGTATGAAACTATATAGAAAGAAGGTAATATTGAAAAATTCCAGATACGTATCCGTTGGATTCCATGTCAATTATTGAAAATGTGATTCCTCAGAGGTGCCAATTATTCCTCATTACGTATGTTTTCCACGAGTTCTATTTAACTCCGTTAAATACCCGTTAAATATCTAACTATAATTTTCAAAAATCTTCCGTTTTGATAAAAAAAAATCCGTTCTAAGTTATTTATAGAAAAAATACGTCACGGTGCCGATGAAATATCTATCAAGTTTTAAGAACATCTTGAATTTCGTGCCGTTATCGTGACGCGCAAGGTACACGAGATCGGGGATGAAAGTTCCGCGACAAGCTTAATATTTCTTCAGACAAGTTCGCGAGAAGAATTGCAACGACGCTGTGAGGTCGACCCAAGTCAATCCTCATTGTTTTATTTCGCAAACAGTAATGTGCCGTTCATCTTCGCTTTGTTCGCAGGATATCAAGTTGGCGTGATCGCCATTTCCACAAAAGTTTCCGACACGTATAACGCCCGCGCCTTCCTTGATTCCGCCAAGTTTTGAGCCACCTTCGAAAATGTAACGGACTCCCGTGGGAATGGAACCGTTCCTAAGGGGAATTACGTGGCACGATATGGTTCCTTGAACCAGTTATTTGTGTTAAATAAACGGACGTTAGTTGATCCCTGCCGGGTTGATCGTGAACGCTAACAGATGTTTAATGTTAACATAAATATGCACGTAATATGCATAGTGCAACGTTACCCGTTACCATCGACGTCGACGGTGAAGGTAATTTAGGATTTTGGCCGAAATTCGCAATGCACTATGCTATTAGCGAGTTTATAGTCGCAGAAGCGTAGCAATCTAATCGCATCAGCGATACTAATCAAACACACGTTGTCCTATTAGAAACTCGCAAAATCCATTAATAACACGACCGCAAGTTTATTTCCCAGCTGCCCGCGAGTTGAAATTTTGCTTCTACATTAACCCTCCGCAAATTCCGTCGAACTTGACGGACCAATGGTTTTGAGAGTTTCGAGATAACGTCATACGAACTATCCGACCTATTTCGATGTTACAAGTAATTACTTTCTGCGTTTCCTCCATATTGAGTCATTTTAAAACAATTTACTTGAGAATTATTTAATATATATTCTTAATTATCTCAACATTTTCTTCGCATTTCACCTTTGCTCATAATTTCAGTAATTTATTAATTACGTGGCTCACTTACTTATAGATGGAGTACATAAAATAAGGAAATATTAAATATTTAATATGAATAAATAAAATGATAAACTTTCTTTTTCACGATTTAACATTTTCATGCGAGAAATTTCAATGGGTTTTGAAGATTCAAAATAGGTGATAAAAAAGGAATTGTAAAAACAGAGATAACAGCTATACACTCAATAACACTGTTTATCAATAGAGATTAAAACTGAGATTTAAATTGGGATTTGATATAATAACAGAGATAAATAGAAGTAGAAAAAAAGTTTGATAAATTCAAGATTGAATGTCTTGCGACCTAAAAAGCATCATTAGATGCAACAGACTTGCGAAATTAACTCTTAATTTTAAGACCGATATTTACCAATTAGATATTTATAATAGTTGCAAATTACTTTGGACCTTGATTGAGAGTATAATTAAGAGCATAATAGGGCATGATTAAGAGCATGATTGAAAGTATAATTGAAGGCATAGTAGACTAATTAATTACAAATTTGTATTCATAGGCCGTTATTGGGCTGTATTGTATCAATATTTCTTCACGTATAAAATAAATACCAAAAGAGGTTAACGAGTAGATTCACGGAGCTATAATTTGTCAAATAATGGTTTACCATGAATGGCGGCTTAAATTTCGGTCCAGGATCTCTTCTTATTCTCGGTCAGTTCTTCAAACGTCCGTTGAAATTGGAGCATCGTATGTAATAAATGATTTCACGCGCATCTAGGAAATACACGATATATCACTGTCCGCGTCCCGTCTGCGTCCTCCATTCTGCCCTCCGTTTCCGTTCCGTCGCAGCAGTACGGATATTTGCTCTTAGCACTGGTGGCACTACATTGATACTCGTGTAGATATGGCTAGAGAGCCTCGAGTGGGAGAGAGGCGTTGATAGGGCCAGGTGACTAGCTGTTCTGTGATTGGCTGGCATGATTCCCGCTTGAATACTGTGGCGCGTATTAATACTGTTCTTGTAGACAAATTTGTAAAGTTAGCGAACATTGCCGTTGATATTTGCGATAAGAAGTGACAAGTTACATGCTGATGTTATTTTTGAGGCACGAATATCGACGGCAATGATCGCTAAATAAATAATAATTGCCTCATAAATTTACTTGTAAGAACGGCAATAATACGCGCCACAGTATTTATACAAGCAGAAATCATACCAGCCAATCACAGAACATCTGGCTGGTCATTTGGGCGCTGTTGGTACTTCTCTCTTATTTGAGGTTTAGTAGGTAAGACTATTCGGATGTCAGAATGTTTCGTTGATCTTTTGAATATTGTATCGCGTTAATCAACACGCTTTTTTCGATCAAATCATCGTATTTACGCGAATGTCAATGTTAGCGTCAGTGCCACGAGTATCCAGAATGCCACGACGAAGCTGTCGGGAGCCAGGATGCTGGATCGGTAGTCAGGTTAGGTTAAGTTAGGACAAAAAAGCAGGATACCGAGACGCGGGAGGTGATACATCGAATATTTTCAGATATGTCAAATTATTTATTGTATGGAATGATGAAATACTCGAGTCGAAATTTAGGCCGGCATTCATAGTAAGTAATTATTGAATAAATTATCGTTTGGTGATTATTGCTTCGTGAATCTTATTATTTGTTCTGTACTTATATCTGTACTTATATTTATTTTATGTAACAAAAGATGTTGATTCCCAGACAGTTGATTAACGATCCATGATCCTAAATTATGAATACCGGTCTTAGAATCTAGAATAAATGTCGCAAGTGCTGTTTTCTTAAGTTTTTAATACTCCTTGGGCTAAGATATTCTATCTTGAATTGAACCTTTTCCACCTCCGTTTATCCTTGTTATTGCACCTAATCCAAATTTAAATCTCTATTGGTAAATATCATTATTGGATAAATAATTATTATCTTTGCCTCTATAATTCTTTCTTTTATATCTTTTCTTAAATCTTCGAATCTTATTAAAATTCTCGAGAACAATGAAAGAAAATGACAAAAAGATTGTGAATAAAAGTGTTAACATATATTAAATATTTAATGTTTTCTCCTCTGTCCCGCTATATTCTATCTGTAATTGAGTAGGTTATTAATTAATACATTGTTGATTGAAATTAAGATTAAAAAATAAATATAGGTAAAAAATATTAAGGTAATCAAATATTAAATAATCCTGAGGTAAGTCGTTAAGACTCAAGTAGCAATGATCACTCATAGCATTAAGAGAGATAGGAAAATAGCTTATATAATTTTATATGTTCAAGTTTCTTCATTAATCGTTTAAGTTGGAACCGAAACGAAATTTACAAGACTAATTTAGAATAAAAATTTCGACAATTTCAAGTTTCCCGTTCGTCTGGCTTCAAATTAATGCAACGAAAGGCCGCGTCTATACGACAAGTTATGAATATTTGATCAACTTATGTATCAGCTATTTGTAAAGTCAATACATACGAAACTTTTTGGAATTTTCAAATTTATACGGCGACCTTGCCGTCTAGAAACTGGTAAAGAGTATGAGAGACGCCCGGAAGATGGATGGAGGATTTTTCTTCGCACCGTGGCGCAGATATAATCAGTAATTGAATTGTAATTTAACACACGGGCGTTTAGCGATTCTACCTCGGGAAATGACGCATTTCCAGATCGATTACGCGCGCAAGTTCGTGGACGCTAGCGGAAAAAAAGACCCCCGAAACGGAAATCTAATTTCGCCACGTGGAGATCAAGAAAACGATTCTGTGTAATTTCATCAGTCCAGCGTAATTTCACGCTGAGTCCTCTAGACAATATTCATGGGAGCATATCTTCTATCGATTTACACGGATTTTCTCAGAGCCTCTACGAGGTGAAGCTTTGCGAGTACGTGGGCGCGAATGTCACATTGCGGGCTGCGATTCTTGAATAATAATGAGTAGCTACTGAGTAAACAACCACGTTGTAGCGGGGTGGGGTTGTGGGAAAGCAATTTACGACTTACTCGGATTATTCGATGACAAGGGTGAAAACGGAACAGTCACGTACTCCGTCCCGAGAAATTTCTATTCCGGCACAATGATTTGCAGTTTAAATTGTTCTTGCAAATTATACGGCTGCTGTACAAAAGCCGCTTTGCGTCGCGAAGAATAATCAATAATGAAAAAGAACAAGTAAATCCTTGCCATGTACAGTACGCGGATTAAAATGGAGGACAGAATCGATTTTTTAATCCCTTACGAGCCAGTGCCCTCGTCGAGAAGAATATTGCGTATTCTACCATTTAAATTTTTCTCGCTGGAACTTTCTCGTAATTCAGGAATTCATCAATTACCGATTGACCCTCGTGCGTATTTGAGTAATACTTAAAAAGAGAAAATCATTAAAAATATAATATTTATAATTGTATGAAAAAAAAAAATAGAAATTACTTAATATGATAATTTTATGTACGAGAGAGGCAGAAGTGATGATAAACACAGTGAGATGCCAATACAATGTAGAATCAAGATATCATTTATGTCGGGAACTTTTTGTCTCCCTCTTATTAGAGAATTTTCTAGAAACACGTACCATCTATATCAGTCCCTTCTACCTTATTATATCTGCCCGATGAAACGTTGATAGGAATTGAAGAAGGGCAGCGAAAGGAAGAGGGGTAAATTTCAGAGAGGAACTTTTAATGGATTGTCGGTATTAATTAACGACAGTGTCAGTTATCGGAACAAATTACCCCAGAATTGTGAAAACGAGTGATATTTCATATCTGTACGACAATAATACAATACACGGAAGTATTGCGCTGCCGTTAAATCCAGTAATCGATCCTCCGTTTGTGATGTCTAAAGAGAGAAAACAATGCACGCGAGGCACATAATCAGCACGATGATTGATTCGGGATAAATGCGAGAAATATCGATGAATAAATTAAATTCTACAATTATCCGTTGGGTTACAACATGTGATCGTTAAATTATTCAAATTTCATAGCATGCTCCCTCTTTCTCTTTCTATATATGCATTATAAATCTAGTACTTTATGTGCATACGTTACAGAAAAGTCCCTAATTACCTCCGATATTGCATCCTTCACGGTGTAACAAATTGCGACGGCATATCATTTATCTTTCTTATTGCGAAAGCGTCTCTCTGGCAATATTAAGATTCATGAATACGATAAAAATCGAACCGTTCATTGTGCATAATCCTAAAGAATTCGCGGACGGCAATTAATGCTATTAAAATAATTATCTGTCGGCAGATTTTATGCTCCGTCGTCTGAAATCGCGACGACCACTCAGCCGGATTAATACGATAATTGTACTTAATAACTCACCGGGAGACAAACACTCAAGCTCTTCATAATATTAAACGACCGTCGCGCGGAATCAATTATTTGCATCTGGCGCTCGGGAGAACTAAAGTCTGTTTATATCACATATCACATTCACACAGATGCTCTATTTGTCGCGATATGGAAATATTTATTACACAATGGAGAAACCGGTTAGGTAGTGATCATGAAAAACAGGCGAATAATATAATTTTGAGAAACATAAAGACTAAGTGGTTGTGGCTATGAAATAGATTGTAAATATTTACTTGAACGTAGCATTTTTTTTTTTAGTATAATAAGTTAGGAATACAAGTATGTGAATCTACTAATAAATAGGAATAAGTAAATAGTAGTAAGGAAAATACATAGAAACGAAAGATTGTATAATTAAAATGTAGATAAAAAAGTTTATCAAACGAAAGGTAATGTACCGAAAGAATATACAGAAAGATTTAGGTGAAAACATGCATATTTCCGAAAAAAGTACCGAAATTAAAAAACTAGAACAACATTCCGAAAAATCATAATCCCGAAAACCGAATATTAAGGCAATCTTCTAAAATATTGGAAGAAAATGAAGTTATTTCGCAAAGTTATAACTTCTTCAATATTTCGAAAAATTGTCCCAATATTCAGTTTTCGGGATTGTGACCTTTCGGAATAATTGCATGTTTTCGATATTTCGGAAAAATTGTATTTTAGGGGATTATCCCGGTATTCAGTTTTCGGGATTGTGATCTTTCGGAATAATTGCATGTTTTCGATATTTCGGAAAAATTGTATTTTAGGAGATTATCCCAGTATTCAGTTTTTGGAATTGTGACCTTTCAGGATGTTGTCCCACTTCTCAAATTTCGGGATTTTGATTTTTCAAAATTATACGTGTTTACTAAAACTTGTATAATATTAAAATAGGGGAAACTGGTGTACGCGTGTGACGAAGCCAGAATTTTCATCTTTCTACCGTCTAACAGAATTTTATCATATCACGTACACGATAATATACGTGCTTATTTTATACAATAGTATCACGTCTCCACAACGATGCGCGCATTCCGGATATTCTTCCGGATATTCTCGGACAGAAAACAAGGCCGGGAACAATAAACAGATCCGATTATGTACGATATATCGTTACAAGGACGTTATGACTATCTATTACCGTCTCCTGCGTAAATTCGCGAATGAAATTACTCTTTGTGCAATAATTTGAAGAACTCGTTTTTCTTACTTAAAACCTGACTTACAACTTATTACTATGCGCATAGTGGACGCTTAGCTTTCTGCTGTACGACTGTTCATTTTTTCTGCGAGATTAAATCCAACTTATTGTCGTATCATGACGACGAAGCGGAGAGGAAAATTGCTTCGCTTAAAGGCATTCTCGACTCTTTGGTCTCTTTATAACGCGCAATTTACTTTATGATATCATGAAACGTCAGGGATTATTTTTAATTTTCACTCTTCTTTTAGT